CATCACAGTTAACTACATGATATACAATTATCTTGTGAATTTGAGGGTCTCGCCCTTCTCTGGAACATAAACTCAGTAAAGATGACCCTCATCCCCTGCATCACAGTTAACTACATGATATACAATTATCTTGTGAATTTGATGGGTCTCGCCCTTCTCTGGAACATAAACTCAGTAAAGATGACCCTCATCCCCAGTCCAGCCCTGGGAACAGCTCCTGTACAGGGATGGGGTGGTACAGCTAGCTCCTTGCATACCTCTACCTGAGTGCAGGACCCCAATCTGCATAGGGGATCAGGAGTCAGGACAGCAGTCAGGAGAGGTCAGGGGATGCCTGACAGGGCACCAGGCTCCAGCTGGGTGGGTTTGCCTAGAAAGAAGCAGAATTCACTCTCTCTTAGCTGGTGATGGATGGGGGAACTCTAGCCTTCAAGTCCTTCTTAGGAGGCCACTCTTAGGATTCCCTTTCTATCAAAGGTGGTAACTATCTATTGAGCATCTACTTGTGTTAGGGAAACAGTGAGGGACTGAGTAGACATGGCCCTTGCCCTGCAAGTCCTTCTTAGGAGGCCACTCTTAGGATTTCCTTTCTATCAAAGGTGGTAACTATCTATTGAGCATTTACTTGTGTTAGGGAAACAGTGAGGGACTGAGTAGACATGGCCCTTGCCCTCTTTAAAATAAAAGCACATCAAAACATAACTGGGTAGGAAATGGGGTGGAGAAAGGGTGCTGAGAACAAGAGCAATGTGCCTGCCTCCGGTCTCACCTGAGACCTGAGATGCCCAGGACTCCAGACCCCAGGTACCACACACTGGACAAAGCCCCTGTGATGGGAACTCAGAGCTGGGCTGGCCAATGCCACCCTCGCCGTAGGGCAGCTGAACTTATTAGACAGGGCCTAGTTTTTCCATCAGTAAAAGACATAAAAGACATGTCTGCTCCCTTTGCTTTGAATGGCAGTTGAGGTTTCCGATAAGAATCAAACTAATCCCCCATCTTAAGCAGTGGGATTGCCAATCTCTGCTTTGTTTGGATTCAGATTCAGACCCTCCAGCTTGCACCTCCCAAGTGCTCCAGTCACAGGCATGTGCCACCCCAGTTTAAACTGTTGCTCTTTAAAAAATATTTTATTACTTTATTATTATTTCATGTGTATGAGTGTATTGCCTGCATGTATGAGAGTGCGCCCATGTCGTGCACTGCCGCAGAGGTCAGAAGGCTTTGGATTCCCCTGGAACTGGAGTTAAGGATGATTCATAACTGCCATGTGGGTTCTGGGAATCGAATCCGGATCTTCTGCAAGAGCAGTTAGTGCTCTCAACCGCTGAGCCGTCTCTCCAGCCCCTAAACTGTTGCTTTTTTTAAAGTAGCCGCTTACGCCTAGCACAATGTAGGGATACTGAGCAGATACTTCAACAAACAAGGCAAGTGACTAAGGCATGTTGCCCCTACCTGCTGACTAGATTACAGCTGCTTATTAGTGATAACACAGGGTGGGGGTCTTCTAATCCTTTGGGTACTGTATGAAATGTGAGCAGGCTGGCAAGGTGGCTCAGTGGGTAAGAACTTGCCATGCTTCACAACGTCAGTTCCTTCCTAGAAAGCACTTAAAGGTGAAGGAGAGAACTGACTCCAAAGTTGTTTTCTGACCTCCATACTGGCACTGTGGGATGGGCATGCCCACATACATATATCATGTACACACACACAATAATAAATAAAATGTGTGACCCAATAAAAATATAACTTTTTCTAGCATCACATTTAATAAAGTAAAAACAGATGAACATAAACAGCATTTTATTTAAACACAGTATACCTAAACTATTATTAGCCTCATTTCCACAGAATTCACATTCTTTTCTTAAGCTGTCATTGAAATTCACATGTATTTTACAGCATGGGTTGCAACATAGTCTCTAGAGCAAGGCTTGCAAAACAAGTGTGGGCACATGGAATAAACCCTTGTGGAGTGACTTGTGTTGGCATTTTAGTCTGAGGGAGGGCAGCTAAGTATTTAATATTTTAATTACTACTACATGCATTAGAAGCTCAGCTATCTGGTCTGGAAAAATTCTGGCAAGGAAGCAGGAGCTGCACTCTCAGAGAAGTGGGCAGTACGTTGTTCACCATGAACACAGTGTAACCCATAATTTCCCCAGAAACACACCATCTGGTTATAACTGCATTAACCTGCACAAAAGGAGAGCTCTCAAGAACTCCTAGAAAGAGGTCATGACCAACAGATGTTCTGGTCAGAAAGATTTTTAAGAGCCCGAGGTGGTGGATGACTACCAGGAAACTGTTTTTCAGACAGCGGGGCAATAGCAGGTAGGAATTCAAAGCAACTGCCCGAGACCTGCCCGAGCTCAAGCCAGACAAATCCCAGCATGGAGGGGGGAAGTGAGCTCCTGGCTCATGGAGCTATGGGCGTTGATAGCTACTGAAAGAGTCCATTTTCTTTAAGGGTGTTCATCCTCGCTCAAGGGCAGGTTCCTGACTCAAGAGTATTTGGGGGCTGGAGAGATGGCTCAGCGGTTAAGAACACTGGATGTTCTGCAGAAGACCCCGCTTTGAATCCCAGCACCCACATGGCAGCTAACAACTGTCCGTAACCCCAGTTTCAGGGGATCCAACAGCCTCTTCTGACCTCCGAAAGGCATTGCACGACACGGGTGCACTTACCTACATGCAGGCAATGCACGCATACACATAAAATAAAAATAAATAAAACTTAAAAAAATTACATTTATATAAAAAGAGTATTTGGGCAACACAAATTGGAACCAGATGAGAAAAACAAAACAAGTTGGGTAGGGAGGGAGGTGGGATCTGGGGAGCTGGGGGAGGCAGGAATATGACAGAAAATACATTCTATGAAACTCTCAAAACAATGTACTTTGTTTCCCTGGGCTAGGGGTGGATCTAGTCCTAGGGCTCCATCCTCAGACACGAAACAAAAAAGCCTGTCCTGGCCGGGTGTGGTGGCGCAGTCCGGAGGCAGGCGGATCTCTGTGAGTTCGGGGCCAGCCTGGTCTACATAGTGACCTCCAGGCCAGCTGGGGCTACACGGAGACCGTCTCAAAAAGACCAAAAGAAAAAAAAGAGTATGTCCTGCAGCAAGCCGGGTCAAGAATGGGGCTGGACCGGCCCTGAAGGACGCGGGAGTCTCAGCAGCCGCGTTCCGGGATGGCATCCTTGCTGTTTGCGGCCACGTCCTCCGCAGGACAGCATCCTTAGTATGCGTCAGACGCAGCACTCCGTGGATCCGAGGCGGCATCCGCGCGGGACTCCCAGGTTGCCAGGGCAACCCAGGCGGAACAGTGAAAAACCCGAGGACCAACGGTGGGCAGCGTTCTCGCTCGCTCGCTCGCTCGCTCTCGGTACTCCCCACGGCCCCAGCTCCCCGGCACAAATGGGGAGCGACAAGCCACGCCCACTGCGCACCGCCAGTACAGCGAGTGCGAGACCCGCCCCTCGCCGGATCCCGCAGAGCTCCAAGTGTCGCGAGAACACTAGCGCTTCTCCCGGCAGCCATCTTGCTTCCCCTTTCTTGAGTTAAGGAGCGTCCAACCCCTCCCTACGCTCCGCGCGGTGGCGTCACTTCCGCCCGGCCGAGAAGCCGCTGGTCCTGCTTCCGGTTCCCGCTGCGGCGCGCGCTCATAGCTCAGCGGAGTTGGGATCATGGCGGCCACGGCCACGATGGCGACCTCCGGCTCGGCGCGGAAGCGGCTGCTCAAAGAGGAGGACATGACCAAGGTGGAGTTCGAGACCAGCGAGGAGGTGGACGTGACCCCCACGTTCGACACCATGGGTCTGCGGGAGGACCTGCTGCGCGGCATCTACGCCTATGGTGAGGCGGGGACCGGGCCGGGCTGGGAGCGCGGGCCGCGCGGGGGTGTACGCGGGAGCCGGCGACGTGCGACCCCCCGCTCCGCGGCCCCAGGCCGACTTCCGGGGCTCAAAGTCCGCCAGGCCCCTCCAGGCACTCGTGCAGCGGATAAGGTGGTGCCCCTTGGTGCCCGGGGCATTGATGGGCATCTGTTGCAAACCTGCCAGGTTCGTGCCTTGATGGAGTTTAACCCTTACTTGGGATGCCGAAAATAGGAGTTTGCTTCAAGCAGTGGGAGTTGTGAAGGACAAGAAACTGGGCTATTGGAGGGGCAGTTAAAATAGAGCATTTAGGTCCCAGGAGAGGAGAGGGGACAGCTGGTCCTGGGACCTTGAAGCCCTCGGCTGGTGTGTGCCAGGAACAGAAAGGAGCCCCTGTCAGACTCCAGGGACCAGTTCAGAGAGGCTTGATAAAGAATTTGAAATCATTCCCCTGAACGGTTTAGTGGGAAGCCCTAGGACGGTTTTAAGCAAACGTCACAGGACCTTACTTACCCATAGAGAGTTTATTTTGGTGTCTGAATTTGGAGTGAGGTGAGGCAGAAGAGGAGACATGGAGCCCCAGGGAGAGGTGATGCTTCTGTTGCAGTGGGGGATGGTGGATCAAGGATCTGCTGACCCGAGGGTATTCCTGGCTGTTCTGAGTGACCCCAGGGGCCTGTGCTGCAGGCCTCTGTTTAGGTGGCAGTGTTTGAAGGGGACAAAATGGGAGCTCTGGCTTGACTGAGGTCTGTGAGCTCTCATGTTGGGATCTGGAGGCAGTTGTCTACATGGTAATCCTGGGGAAGCAATGGTTGGGTAGCAGTAACAGGCATCAGAGGTAGATGGTCTTTTGGGACTAGAATACCCTTTGTCTGACACTTCTCCAGTGAGGATAGTTTAGACAGAATGAGAAGTTGCCAAGGAATGGGAGTTGAAAAGAGAGCCCGCCCTGCAGCCAAGGCCCTATGCCTTCCTGGCACCCAGGGGCCTCTGTCCAGAATCATTCATTTCCCATCCACAAGCTTGTCTATCAGGAGTTTAAGCCAACTGTAGCCTTGTGTTGAGATCAGAAATTGTACTAGCTACATCTTAAAAGGCAAAAAAATGGTACCTTTTATATGTGTGAAGTTGTATTTGCCTACTTGGAAAATACTTCAACTATTGTTGTTTGGTGGTGGTGATGGAGATGCTTTTGGGCCAGAGAGCAGTGTGGGCTGTCCCCACAGCAGAGTGCTGAACCAACTGCTTACCCTTGGGGAAGGGCAGTGACTACAGTGCCTTTACACTTCTGTTTGTTTTGAGACAGAATCTCAGGTACAGGTGCTCAGACTGAAAGGATCAAGGTGGCCAGCCTTGAACTCCTGATCCTCTTGCCTGTACCTTCCAAATACTGGTGTTACAGGTGTATGCCAGCATACTCAGTAATAGTGCTAGTAGATTTACCCCTGTTCTTTTTTCTTTTTAATTTAAAAAGTGAGATGTGCAAAAAGAAAAAAAATAAACCACAGGCTTGTAATTCATCTGCTCTGGAAGCCGAGGCTGGATGATTCCAAGTTGAAGGCCTACCTGGGTGGCTTAGCCAGAACTTGTCTCCAGAACAAAAAAAAAATTTTGAAAAGCAGTATACCTCAGTGGGAACACTTAGCTTAGCATTTTGATTCAGCACCCAGGGAACACACCCCCACCTGCCCCCGCATAAAGAAAGTAATACAGTCAAAGCTTGCAGAAAAAAAAAATCACTCCCCTTCCACCCTACTCCTCAGGAGTGGCCACCACCATTTTAGTGCGTGCTTTTCCAGATCCAGAAGACACTTTCATTGTGAACAAAAGAGTTTCTGTATATTCTAAACTTGATGATAGTTTTACAGACTCCTTGTCTTCACAGGTGATAGCCCAGGCTAGTCAGTGTAAAGCTCTTCTCAGCCCCTGAGCTTTGAGTTAGCCTGGTGCCTGGGTTGACTGGGGTTGGCAGTAAGAAGCAAGCTACGTGCTCCCGTGGGGAGCCCATACTGCTTGGTTTTAGTGCTGTCACAGTGCTGAGAGCTAAGTCTTTGCTCTGTTTGCAGGTTTTGAAAAGCCATCAGCAATCCAGCAGCGAGCTATCAAGCAGATAATCAAAGGGAGAGATGTCATTGCACAGTAAGTTCGGGTGTGGAGAGCCAATTGGGGCCATCGGCAGGAGGAGCCCTGGGAAGCTGTGTCTTCTCAGTGTCGGCCCTTGGCACCAGCTCTCCCTTCAGTCCAGGCTTTTAGAGTTTTTATTCTCAGCTAGAAAATATTTCATTTTTTTAGCCAATTTGCTTAGCTATCAGGCATGTGGATTTGGCAGGGGATGGATGCTTGGGGTCAAGTCTACATCATTATATGCTTGTACATGCTTTGCAAGTGCCCTACCACCGATGTGCATTCTAAGCGCCCAGAATACAGATTTGTGTATATATAATACCTTTCTCTATAGCTTTATTTTTCCTCTTTCTTTTTTCTTCTTTTTACATTCTGTAGATGAATCCAGGATGTTCTCAACTACTGAGCCCTTATTGGTCTTATTTTTAAAAAGACTACCAAATTTGTAATTTTTTATTTTTGGCCTTTTTGAGACCGTCTTCCTGTAGCCCCAGCTGGTGTGCCTCTGCCTCCCAAGTGCTGGGATTAAAGGTGTGGGCCGCCCAGCAACAGATTTTTTTTTTTTTTTTCGGAAGATGTTATAGACTAGGTGTGGTGATGGGCAAAAAAGGTGGATCTCTGAGTTTGAGGCCAGTCAGATCTACATGGTGGTTTCCAGGCTAGACAGTGCTACATGGTGAGATCCTATCTCTAAAAAAAGGCTATGTTCCAGAATTTTAGAAGACAATTGTATTTACATAAAGGAGAGCTCCCTTTTCTGTACCTATAAGGTACCTGTTGAAATTAGAGATGCTGCAACTGTTGCTCCTGATGCAAAGGCCACATCACCACCCTTGCTGTGGAGGTTTAAAAGCTGTGGCTCTACTGGAGTCTTCACCCTTGCAGATGCTGGGATGTGGGGTGGGCTGTCTGCAAGGTGGAAGCTGCCCATGTGTACCTGCAGCCAGGCCTTTGGGACTCTGCTGTGGAGGGTCACCAGTGAGACAGTGGCAGGGGCCTTCCCTCTGAGCCTTCTCTTCTGCTTTCTCAAACAGGTCTCAGTCCGGCACAGGCAAGACAGCCACCTTCAGTATTTCAGTCCTCCAGTGTTTGGATATTCAGGTGACGGGCCATTCACAACAGATGTTCTTTAATATGAGGGAGAGAGGTTTCATAGAGAATTTATCAAGAGGGAGACAACTCCACTGTACTTCTGCTAATGCAGTTGGTAAAGAGAGGTTGGGTGTTTTTAGCTGGATGTGGTGGTGCATGCCTTTAATCCCAGCACCTGGGAGTCAGAGGCAGACCAGCTGGGGCTACAGGGAGACCCTGTCTCAAAAAGACCAAAAAAAAAAAAGAGTGCTTTTTAGGCAAGGTGTGGGCAGATTTAGTAGCAGTGCTACAAGGCAGAGGCGACAGGTTTCTGAGTGTGAGGCCAGCTGGTTTACATAGCTCCGGGCCAGCCAGGGCTACACGGTGAGACTTGTCTTAAAAAAAAACACAATTTTTAAATTTTCTCCTTCTTATGACTCAACATTTTTAAAAAATTTTGATTAATTTTGAGTGTTTGGCCTGCATGTGTGTAAGTATATCATATGCTTATAAAACCCACGGCGTCTGAAAGAGGGTGTCACATTCCCTGGAACTGAACTATGGACAGTTGTTCAAAGCCACCATGTAGGTGCTGAGAACCAAGCCTGGGTCCTTTCTAAGTATAGCCAATGTTCTTAACCACTGAGCCATCTCTCTAGCCCTGTGACTCAACATTTCTGAAGGACCTTAATTATTAAGTACACTAATATCTGAGCTTACCGGGACCATAAATTCCTTTGTTTAAACTGGGAGGATGTTTAAACTATAGGAGGTTCTGATGTGCACATAAAAATCCTGATTGTTACATCACATTATTGCTGGATTTGTTATTTAATGTTTGCTTAGCTGTTAGAAATGAGGAATGTAGTTTAATAGATGATCACATTATGTGAGATAAGCCAGACTTGGACAAATACAGTGTGTTGACTATGCAGAGTCTAGATTTTTTGTTTGTTTTTTTTTGAGGCAGGGTTTCTCCTGTAGCCCCATCTGTCCTGGAACTCATTATGTAGACGAGGCTGGCCTCAATCTTACAAAGTAGATTGTTTGCCTCTGTCTCTTGAGTACTGGGATTGCCACCATGCTCAGCCACAGTCTGAATTTTTAAAAACTTTTCTGTGGATGAGCGTTTTTCCTGTATGTATGAAAGTGCACCCATGCTGTGCAGTGCCTGTGGAGGGTGGAAGAGGGTGTCAGTTCCCCTGACTGGAGTTATAGATAATTGTTAGTCGCCATGTGGGTGCTGGGAACTGAACCCAGGTCTTCTGCAAGAGCAGCCAGTGCTCTTAAGCACTGAGCCATCTCTCCAGCCCTAGAATCTAGATTTGGGGGAGGTATGAAAGTAGAGAGAGGGTCCTTGGGGAGAAGGGGACTGGAGGGAGGGGGAGATGGGGAAATGACAGTGAGTTGCTGACACATGCACCTATGAGGATCTCAGGGAAAACCATTGTTTTGTATGATTATGTTAATCTTTCAAGAGTTAAGAATACTGAAGATGCTGTGTTTTTTTCCAATCATTCATCAGGTTCGAGAAACTCAAGCTTTGATCTTGGCTCCAACAAGAGAGTTAGCTGTGCAGATTCAAAAGGTGAGGCTGTTGTTAGCTGGGGAGTGGCTGGGCACGTGCCTGAGCGATGGAGGGCCTTCCCAGCACGTGGCTGAGCGATGGAGGGCCTTCCCAGCACGTGGCTGAGCGGTGGAGGGCCTTCCCAGCATGTGGCTGAGCGGTGGAGGGCCTTTCCAGCACGTGGCTGAGGGATGTGCAAGGCCCTGAGTTCAGTGCCCCACAGTGCAAGGAAAAGAAAACGTAGAGACACTGTGTCTGCAATTACCAGTTTTACGTTTTAGTTGTAGTAAGCTGTTTCATGTAATGTTTTCCTAGGGGCCAGCAGGGTTGAACCCAGAGTCCTGTGCTTGCCAGGCAGCTGGTTTCTACATTTTGCCTATATCATTGTATGTCATACAAATTTCTAGTTAGCAGCGAGTTGCTATTACTGTAGCGTCTATGTTTTCGATGTTCTTTTATAATCTGGGAGTATAGCTCAGTGGTAGTGTGCCTGTCTGGTATGCACAGGGCCTTGGGTTCAATCCTCAGTAGTGCAAAAAGAAGAAAGAAAAAAATAATCTTTGACAAACAAAAATTTATTTATTAAATGATTTTTGTATTATTACTATTTTTTTTTTGGTCTTTTGAGACAGGGTCTCCTTGTAGCCCCAGCTGTCCTGGAACTCAACTGTGTAGACCAGGCTGGCCTTGAACTCACAGAGAATCCTGCTTCTGCCTCCTGTGTGCTGGGATTAAAGGCGTGCCTTTAATCCCAGCACTCAAGGCAGAGGCAGTTAATTCTCTGAGTTTGAGGCCAGCCTTGTCTACATAGCAAGTTCCAGGCCAACTGGGGCTATCTCAAAAACCAAAAAAAAGTGTTAATGTCTGGGAGGATTATGAATTTTAACTTTGTTCTGTACTTTAATAACAGAAACCCTCAGTTCATTTTGGCGGAGGAAAGAGGAGGGCCTGTGGTCTACGGATGGAGGAGTAATGGGTGGTTTCACGTTGGAATCGAAATGGCCTTCGCTTGTGGGCGGTTTAGATGTGCCTGACCTTGTAGCACTCTGGCTATCACCCTGTGTTTTGCTTCAGGGCCTGCTCGCTCTGGGGGACTACATGAACGTGCAGTGCCACGCCTGCATTGGGGGCACCAACGTGGGTGAGGACATCCGGAAGCTAGACTATGGGCAGCATGTTGTGGCGGGCACACCTGGGCGTGTCTTTGGTGAGCACTTCTGCCATTGAGAAGCCATGGGTAGGATTTGTGAGGTGTGCATGGGGTACTCAGACTTAGTGCCATGAGCTTTCTGTGGGTCTCTGCACCCGGACTCCTGGTAGCACATGTAGGGACAGGCTGCGAGGGGCACAGGGATCAGTAGGAATGGCCACTAGCTCTTTCCTTGAGCCTTGTTGATTCTTTGACAATGTAATTATATAGATATGATTCGCCGCAGAAGTTTAAGGACACGGGCTATCAAGATGCTGGTTTTGGATGAGGCTGATGAAATGTTGAACAAAGGTAAGAATAAAAAGAATTCTCTACTGATGTAGTTTGTTTTCACAGTGGAACTGAATCTGCCTACTGAGTGCTCTGGGTGTGAATAGTGCTGTGTGGAGACGGTTGTGCCTTGCGTAGTTGTGAACATGAAACTCCTATTTGATGTTTTCATAGTAAAGGTCTGTGACACTAATCACAGCTGGGGTGACGGTGTTTTCTGCCTGTGGGCTCCAGCACTGCACACTACCAGGTTGTTGGCACAGACCACTGAGCGTGGGGCTTACATGCAGTGTGGAGATGTGTGCTTGGTGTGGGAGAGGGTGGAGGAGTGGCATTGAGCATGTGGCTCTCCCGAGACCTCTGGAGCCACTGTCAGTGAGCTCTCCCTGTGATGCCCTTAAAGCCTCGGCTGCTCTTATTCTGTCCCAGGTTTCAAGGAGCAGATCTACGATGTGTACAGGTATCTGCCGCCAGCTACACAGGTGGTTCTCATCAGTGCCACGTTGCCTCATGAGATCCTAGAGATGACCAACAAGTTCATGACGGACCCCATCCGCATCTTGGTGAAGCGGTAGGAGTGAATGCCTTCATTTCCTTTGTGAAAACTAGCTTTGAAGTCCCCACCCCTCACCAAATTGAAAGCAGAACTAGAAATGCCTAGTTGGTATTTGTGTGTATATTCTGTGGATTTATATTCAGGGTTGCAAAAATTATGAAACATTCAGGGAGGTCCAGGATGTCGCCCTGCTGGTAGAAGTGACAGGGTAGGGTGATGTGGCTGACAGAATGGGGGTTTGGGGTCTCTTGGCATGGCTTGTTCCTCTCCCCAGAACCTGGCCTGTGGCTAACCCCCAAGTCCTGGTCAGAGGCCTGATGCGAACACTTGTCTGTCTGCTAGTGATGAATTGACTCTGGAAGGCATCAAACAGTTTTTTGTAGCGGTGGAAAGAGAGGAGTGGAAGTTCGATACCCTGTGTGACCTCTACGACACACTGACCATCACCCAGGCGGTCATCTTCTGCAACACCAAGAGGAAGGTGTGTCACCTTGTCCTGGAGGCCCTTGCGGAGCTCCAGGCTGTGCCTCCTTGAGACCGCACCTGAGGTTCTTCCTAAGGGCAGGAGGATGTGACTCAGCCTCTAGTTCCTCTATGAATGCAGCTAGTAGACCGCGTTTAGGGAGTGGCTGGCTGTACCCCAGGTGGGAGTGAATACCACTGGGGAAACTGAGGCAGGAGGACTGCTGGGGCCCAGGAAACATGGGGACCCGTGTTTTAAAAAGGAAGCATAATGGGGCTGGAGAGAGGGCTCAGTGGTTAAGAGCATTGGCTGTTCTTGCAGAGGACCTGGGTTCAATTCCCAGCACTCACATGGCAGCTAGCAACCGCCTGTAACTCTAGTTCCGGGAATCTGATGCCCTCTTCTGACCTCTGGGCACTTACATACATAATCCCAGCACTTGGGAGGCAGAGGCAGATGGATCTGTGATTGAAGCTAGCCTGGTCTACACAGCAAGTTCCAGGCCAGCTGGGGCTACAGGGAGACCCTGTCTCAAAAAGAACAAAAACAAGAATAGGTACTGATGCTGGTCCCATTTGTACTGATTTTTCTGTCTTGGTACAAGCTGGGGCCTGGGCCCAGTGGGTGGGGTGGGGTGGGAGCCCCCAGGTAGTGCTGACCAGTGAACCGAGTTAAGAACCCTTGACAGCCTTCCCACAGAAAGACAAGGAGGGAGGCTGCTTCCACAGTGACGGGAATTCAAGTTTAAAATGAGAATAGATGGGCGTTCCCTCCAAGGAAGTGGCACCCCAGCTGTTGGTCCCTGCATGTGGGTGAACAGCTGTGTGTTCATAGCATGGTTTCTACCTCTCTGGGTTGATGAGCACACAGATCTGCTGATCTGACTCGTAGGTTGACTGGCTGACGGAGAAAATGAGAGAAGCCAATTTCACTGTGTCCTCCATGCATGGAGACATGCCCCAGAAAGAGCGTGAGTCCATCATGAAGGAGTTCCGGTCCGGGGCCAGGTAGGTGGCAGCTTTGGCTCCCATGCCCGTCATGTTGGTGATGGTGATGGAGGTGCCATCCTCCATGGGGGCCTCAGTGTAGTTTCCCCATCCAGATGCCGGGAGGTAGAACAGTTCTTTGGCCTGAGACTCCGGGAGAGCAGCCACCTGCTCAGAGGGGTGCCTGCCTGCTGTGGGGCCAGGTTGAGAGGGCCGCTGCCCTGCTGTGGGGAGGTGGGGGAGACTAGGTTGAATGGGGAGCTGGCGGTCACCACTTGATTGGTTGTACTTAGAAGTGTGTTACTTTGGTTACAAGTGAGAGCTTTTTGTTTAGCTTCTGGTAATCAGTATTAGATCAGTCACAGGGTGGTCAGAGAACAGGCCTTGTGTGCATTTCTTTGATGTTGAGTCAGGATTGCTTTATGACCTCCTTGGGTCATTTTTGCAGAGTTGTGTGTCTATGTGAAGGGATATGCACATGCCATGGAACTTATGTGTGGAGATGGGGCAATTTCTGGGAGTCTTCTCTCTCCCCTTCCACCCAGTGGGGTCCCAGGAATTGGACTCAGGTTGTCAGATTTGCTGGCAAGCACCATCCTACCTGCTCACAACCTCTGGATCCTTGCTGCATCTCCCTACACTGTGAATGTAGAGCCTCTCCGAAACTTTAGTAGACACACACATACACACACACACACACACACACACACACACACACACACACACGCACACACGCACAAACATGTAGTTGGGTTTTGTTTTTGTTGGGACTTAAGATCATCATTGTCTTTTTGTTTTGTGTTTTGAAGCAGGCTGCTGGCATTGAACTTGTAATCCAGTGACCTTAGCCTCGACCTAGTTAGGGAGTTACAGATGTGAGCCACCATGCCTGACTAGTCATTGTCTGAAGTAGGCCATTTATCCCATTGTGTGCTGGTCTAAACTGACCACTGTGTTACTTAGTGGTTTCCCTGGAGTCAACACTGTCCCTTCCCACATCTGTCACAAGTCACCACTGTCACTGTCTCTCCAGGCAACACAAAGCCCAAGGTTGTTGGCATGTATGTTAACTGTACATGTGTGTGTATAAGTGTATTTGTGCGTGTTGAAGTGCTGGAAATCAGCATGCATCTTAATCCCCACTAGGCTTCTTCCTTTGTATGACAGTTTCTTTAGATTTAGGTGTGTTTTCTCTTTCCTCATCTCTGAATTTCCTTCTGAGACATGTTCATACTGGTTGGGTCACCTTGTGAGAATTCTATTATAACCTGAAAGTGTTTCCCTCACCTTGAAGTATCCTTGGAGGTCTTGAAGGACAGAGGTGCTAGAGATGGAACTCCTGGTGGTCCTCCCTGCTTCCAGGGAGGTGATCCAGCAGCCCTTGTCCGTTCAGGGCCATTGGTGGCCAGTCCACATCTGTTCTGCTGATTTTTCTTTGTTTAGTTTTGTGTTTTTTTGGAGACAGGATCTCACTGTGTAGCCCTGGCGGGCCGGAAACTTGATATGTAGTCTAGGCTGGCCTTGAACTAAGAGCTCTGCCTGCCTCTGCTTCCCCAGTGCCTGGCCTTGGTTTTTCAGTTTTCAGCCATTATTACTTTTACTGTATCAGATGTGGATTTCATTCTGTCCCCTCTTGGCATCTGCAGGCATCTGGGGTCTATGGCCCGTCTGCCTCAGGCCCGGCTCTAGCCTCTTCCTCCTGGTTTCAGTGTGATGCCTTCCCTGGGTCCTGAGCTTCCATTGCAGTTCTCCTGTCCCACAGTTCCCAGTGCCCCTAGGCCAGCATTGTCCAGTGGAAACAGAAACCCAGCTGCACATAGAATTTAAGACTTTCTAGTAAGCATGCTAAAATAGGTAAAAGACACAGGTGAAGTTTAATAGGAAAGCTATGTCAGTATTGCGTTGGTCAGCATGAAATCAGTAATAAGAATATGAGCTTGTAGTTGGGGTGTGGTGGGTTAATCCCAGCACCTGGAAGACAGAGACAGGCAGATCTCTGTGGGTTCGAGGCTAGCCTGATCTACATAGTGAGTTCCAGGACAGCTGGGACTACAGGGAGACCCTGTCTCAAAAAGGAAAAAAAAAACAAAAATAAGAATATGAGCTTGTTCCTGCTTTTTTCTGTGTTACGTCTTTTAAGGCCACTGTGTTTCCCACCTGTACTGTGTGTCCATTAGCACCAGGCACCTGTCCAGTGGGCATGTGTGTCTGTGGCCCCAGGTGGGCAGCACCACTCAGGCAGATCTGATGCTGTGGTGTGGGTTGGCTTTCAGACCTAAAAATCCTCTGTCCAGAAGGTTCCTACTCGTAACTGTATTTTTTGCTAAGGAGAAAGCTAAGTGTTTTTCCTGATAGGGCCGATTTTAAACAAGTTAATGTTCTAAAGTTTAAATGATACTGGGATTTTGTTGTTTGGGGGTTTTTTTGGGTGGGGGAGTGTTTTCCCTATCAGCCTACATGATTAAGTACACAGGCTTTGTGGTGGCATTCGGGTGATGCGGTTGCGGGGGCTTGTGTCCAGGTTCCTCACAGCTGTAGCAGAGGCAGCTCTGGTCTCACCTTTCTGGCCCTTTCTTTCTGCAGCCGAGTGCTCATTTCTACAGATGTCTGGGCCCGGGGGCTGGACGTCCCTCAGGTATCCCTCATCATCAACTACGATCTACCCAACAACAGAGAGCTGTACATCCACAGGTGCGTGCCTCCTGCCTTTGTGGGGACTGCCCTCTAGTGTCTGTCTGTGTTTACTAATGAACATGTTTATTCTGAAGAATCGGGAGATCGGGTCGCTACGGCCGGAAGGGGGTAGCCATCAATTTTGTGAAGAATGACGACATCCGAATCCTCAGAGACATCGAGCAGTACTACTCCACCCAGATCGACGAGATGCCCATGAACGGTGAGTGGGGGTGGGCTCGGGGGAGGCAGGGCTGCCCGCCTGGTGGTACTTAGCAGTTCCCTTCTTTTCTTTCAGTGGCCGACTTGATCTGAAGATGGTGCTGGCACACTGCGGCATTGAACAAGAACACTTGTTTGTGCTCCTTTTGGAAACTAGTAGGATATTTAATGGGGTTTATATGAACTCTCTTCTCATACCCACCAGGGAGACCCCTGGGGGCTTTGCCACCTTTTCTTACCCACATGTAAATAATGGATTGCTTGAAGTCTTTTTCATTAAACATTGGAATTTTCCCATAACCGTGAGTGTAGATTTTTTGCGGGGCCAGCAGCTTCCTGGTCTGGTCACCATGGACAGACCGAGAGTTTCTCTCCTGGCTCCATAGCGTCCACAAATCTAACCTGAGGTGTTGAAGCACAGGGACCAGAGAATCCACACAGCACAGCAGAAGGAAAAACACAGCGACTTCAGGTTGCAAAGGTATCTTTAAAGTGACAGGCAAAGAACTGTAAAGTGGACCTGGCATGAGTGAACATCTGACTCTTCAAATGACATGAAGGCCGAGAAGCAAAGCACACAGTGGAGGAGGAGTTTGTGAAGTGCGTGTGACAAGGGTCATGGGGTGTCTGAAGTGTGACCACCCACTGAGGTACTTCTTGGTACTTGGGTGCTTCTTAAATTGTAGCTGAGTCCCTGCCAACAGCCCATGCGGGCAGGGACACCCTGCAGCCCCCAGCAAGGAAAGCAGCCCCCGACACCCTAACCAGGTTGGAGCTTTGGATCTGTTGGACTGCAGCAGAATTAGTTTGTGTGACTTGAAGCTGTAATTGCAATAAAAGGTGTTAACAGCAAAGGATTTGAACAGATGCTTTGCCAAAGATGAGTGGACGACAGGTGAGCCCGGGACAGGTGATTGGATTAGGCATTAGGCAGTGTGAGGACCACGTACAGTTACTCCATCCACTCTAGAATGGCTAAAGTCAGACTGTTGCAAGTGCTGCCTGGGATGTGAGGATGATCCGGCTGCCATGTCTCACCCCGTTGATTACCAGCGTGGATTCACCTGATCTGATTATCAAGGCAGGTGTCCCCTTCCTCCCTCAGTGCTCCAGATGTGTCCTTCCCAGAGCTGCGTACTCAGTGGAAGGGGATGCTCCCCAGTAGAGGAAAGGGTGTAGGAGAGAGGGTGCCCTCCTTGCTCAAACCTCCACACAAGCTTCCCAATGCTGCAGTGATGGGAAGCGCTACAGCTCTCGTACGTTTGGGTCATGGGCAGAATGTTATGTGTATACATGTATTGCCTGCATGTATAGCCATGTCATGCAATGCTGGGCACATGTTCTTAAGAGTGCATAATTTTTGGTGGTGGGAGGTTGGGGGAGTTGTAGTTCAATGCTAGAGTGCTTCTTGCCCAGTGTGTAATGACCCTGAGTTCCATACCCAGCACCACGAGGAGAAAATGTATAAAGCTGTGGTGGCCTCTGCAAGACTGGGCTCTGGCTGAGTTCCTTGGTAGCACTTGCCGTCAAACATCTGTGTGTGGAAAACTTCATCGCCTCCATCTTTATGATTTTATTAGGGTTGACACACGAGGCTTCGTCTCGATTCTGATGTTAAATGTTTGCAAGGACATACAGGCAATGAGACGGGACTTGTGTAGCTGCTGTGTGCCTGGGCAGAGCCTGCAGGGCAGGTACCCAGTATGCTGGGAAGAACCCAGATGTTGAGCCCCATGTTGTGGGTCTACTTACAGTTCCCACACTCCGCGCCTATGCCTTGATCTTCCTGCACACACTGCTTAGTTTTTTGAAAAAAACGTGTATATGTGAGTGCAGGTGCCCATGGAGGCCAGAGGCCTTGGACCCCCTGGACTTGGGGATACACATGGTTGAGTCACTTAGCATGGGTGTTGGGAATTGAACTCGGGTCTCTGCAGGAGCAGCACATAAGTGCTGAGTCATCGTTTCAGCTCACGCATACCACTGTTCACAAGCCCTGGGGACAGTGGCAGGTGACTGTCAGAGACTGGTCTTGTCTACTGGCACTGGGCTGTTTTATCACTTGTCCTGTGTGGACAGTCTGCTCCTGTCCCGGGCCTGTGGCTTTCTGTAGGCTCCTTAGTAGCTGCTGGGCTCTAGTCAGGGTCAGGAAGGATAGGAGGAAGGTCACCAGGCCCCATGGTGACTGCTAGAGGGCTTCTCAGTAGGAACCATCATGGATTATCGACGCCATTGATTTATACCAAGGAAGGCAACAGATTAGCTGAGACGGGTAGAGGGGAGTGTGTCATCAGCACCCTGAATCCTGGGAGTGGGTGGGGTGTCTAGCATACCAAGGACCTGTCCATCCTCATGCCAGACCCTTGGCTGATTCAGCCAATGAGAGGCTAGGACTGGGCTGGTTTCTATTACCGGCCCCAAGCTTCCTGATAAGCTCCCCTCTAGCCCGGGTAAAGGGGTATGAGACTAACTTGTACAATGGAAAGTATCTCCACCCAGGACCAGCTATGCGTCCTGCAGGGTCCAGGCCTGGAGCAGGGTGAATGTGGCTGTGGCATCTTGGCACATTACCAAGATGGAAGGCATCAGTTGCAGAGCACAACCCAGCACAGGCCCTTCTAAGACCATGGGCCTGCTCGGTCACCAGACCTCCAAAGCCATTTGGCCGTATGCATGGCCAGTTGCTGGGATGAGTACTAGGCCTTGTTCTACTGTGGCCTGGGAAGGGAGAAGAGGGCTGTGCAGAGGACCCTCCCTCACTAGCTGCCCACCCCTCCCCCGCCCCAGCCAGCTGGCAGTGTCGTAGACTGCATGGCCTTGGTAAGTCAAGCTGTGGGATCTGACTCGGGAGCCACCAGTTCCTCCTGCTCCTTCTCTACTGTCTGGATACATGGGACGCCTCCCTGTGCTAGTCAACTCCTCCATGTGGTGGAGAACACATGGCCCAATGCTCCTCTCCTCTGGGAGGCTCCCACTCACCTGCCCTGTTCCTCTGCTTTTAGATGGAGCAGAATCTGCGAAGTACTGCCCTGTTCCTCTTTCCACATGGTCACTGGGCACAAGGTGAACAGCAAGAGGCGCCCAGTAGGGAAAGTAGTCATGGGGCTCAAGGCCCAGCTGGGATAAGGGTCCTGTCTGTATTGTGACCCTGAAGATGGTCACCAAGTCAGACACGTGGCTCCCAGGAGTCCCTGTGCTTTTGACTCCTGGTTTTCTGAAGGTTACAGAGGCAATCTGTGCTTGCTGGTCCTCAGCCCATCTATCCTAATGACAAACGAGGTGTCTGAATGGCGTGGCCAGTTACAACAGGGACAGCGGCAGGCAGCTGCCACGGAGGCCAGTCTTGTCTGCCGGCACTGGGCTGTCTTATCACTTGTCCTGTGGCAGTCTCACTGCCTTGGCATTTGTCTCCACCAGTGGCTGGAAGCCCAGCCCCAGTTGGACACTGTCCTGATACCACAGGGGTGGGGCCTGCTGGGAGGCAAGGTGACCAAACTACAGATGGAAAGGGGAGGTGACGTGGAGCCCCGCAGGTGATCTGGTGATGTAAGGGATGTGAGGGTGACATGGAGACACCAGGATGTGGACATGATGTGGGGCCATAAGGAGACATGAGGACAACACGGTGATATGGGACATGAGAGACAGGAACACCCTGGTGTGGCTGCCTCCTTCGGGCCCTGAGACACGCTCTTGCCCTGAGCCCCGACAGGACTGGCAGGAGCTGGTTCTGAATGCTCTTTTTATTAAAAGTAAGTGCACTTTACAGTAAGTTTTCCAAGTCCTGTGAATCTGGTGGTACTGTAAGCTCTAGCCCTTTGTAGGGTCATAGTTATGGTGGTTGCACTGTGGTGTAGACACAGCCTCTCACTGCCGAGCGCCCAGCTCTCTGGTTTCAGGGACAGACACGGTCAGCAGAAGCTACTGCACTGGGTGACAGGCAGGTGAGGCAGCCCTCACTCTCATTCCCAACACTGGCCCTCCAGGGCACTAGCAGCAGCAGAACTGTGGAGGAAACTCAAAGCACCAGGAGACCAGCACTCAGTCCCCAACGGCGCTACCACCCATGGCCTGTGCACAGCCCCTGGGGGCTTGTAAACACAGGCATAGTCTGCTAGGACCAACTGATGCGAAACTGCTCCCCCATGAGCAGCGAGACTGGGATGGCCAGGATCTGGAAGACAAAAGAAAACTTGAATGCCAGGTGGTTCCCACCCACAGCCAGGCCTTGGGTGTGCAGGACACAAGCATCTGATGATGGACACAGAGCTGTCCCCTCACTGGCAACTGGTTCCTTTGGGGACAAGGTGCTGTTTGGCATCTCATGGTCTCCATCATAACTGCCCTCTAGAGATGGACGGGAGGAAGAGGGATGACATCCCACTCTCCCTGTTCTCTCCTGTGAGGTCTGAATGTTCGCTGCCTCCTCTCCACAGTGTATCCACGATGTTAGGGATCCTCAGCATCTCCTGTCCCCATACCCACTGAGGTACAATAGCCCCTGTCCCGACCTGCCCTCTTACCTTGCTGTCAGGGCTGTAGGTGAAGTTGGAGACAGGGATACCGTTGGAGAAGACCTGGGTGGGGGCTGTGGTCACACCTACGACGGACACACTCCTCAGCTGCAGGTTGGCCCCCTCTTTGGACACATGTACCAACTCATTCGTGATGGTGTTCTGGCCGTGTGGAATGAGAATGTGGTGTCATTAGACAGAGTAAGCCCACCAGAATGGGCTCACCAAGCATCACGGGGCAGCCTCCTCTGTGCCGACATGAGGGGTACACTGACCCTGAGATGCCCGGCACAGTGCCCCACCCAGGGATAGTGGCCACTGGGGACCCTGGCCCAGTCCCTTCACCAGATCAGGACAGGCCCCCTCCATGATGACTACACCCATCAGACCGGGCAGGCACCCAGGACTCACGTTCTTGGCTTGGAAGGTGACCTGTGTATAGGCCCCCTGCTCCAGCACCCCAAGGCTCTCCCCATCGTCCCAGTACAGCTCCCCATGGGCCTCGCCACTTGTTGTTAGGGCCACAACCAGAGCCATGGGCTGTTTTCGTGACTCTGTGGTTGTGAGGTCAGGACCCTGGGGAGATGGACACTTGTCACCACACTGACCCTGGAGAGCTCTAGTACGGGACAACATAGAGCCGAGTCAGCCAGATGCCTGTGGTGACTGCCCTGGCCAAGGTGTCAGGTGGACCCTAGTTTGTCCAGTGTCTCCATGGCTGCCAGGGGCTGATCCCTGACAAACTCCAGTGAGGGACATCAGCCTCCCTGGTATCCACCCCTACGGAGGAACCACCAAAGCCTGTTAGCCCTCCCCCAGGACCTATAGCTGCCAGAACTTGATACCTGCAGGGGCACAATGTACCCTGCCCGCAGATTCACATTGATGGTGTCCAGTGGGGTCGAGAGTGTCACCCACTGCCCCTTGCTGTGGATGGCAGAGCTGAAGGCTGCTGAGGGCAGAGGTGGGAGGCTGCCAAAGGCCTCCACTGGCACCTGGAGGGAGGTGTCATGTCAGAAGAGTCCCAGGCAGTTCCCAAGATCCCCTACTGTTAACTGAGATCTGTGTTCTGTCCCCCAGGGCTCTGTGTGGAGGCCCAAGAGACCCAGCTGAGACAAGCTGGTTGTGACCCCCAAGGGCGGACTCTGTGACAGAACAAGGATTTCCTGGCTCAGCTCGGCATCCAAGATGGCTGTAGGATGCTGGCAAGCCTGTTTCCTCATCTGGAAGTGGGGGTTACTGTCAGGAGCTGAGTGGGATGTAAGGAGCACCCAGGCGAGAGCAGTTGGAGCTTCCGTGTGGGCGTGCTGTCATGCTGACAGGCCAGGAGCACGTGGCCACTCGAGTCCTCACTCCTAGGTATCAGACTGCCCAGGACTCACGGTTTGCAGGTTGTACCATGTGCCAGCAGGGAAGTAGCCCGTCTCTTCAGTTTTCCCGGGCTCAAGCACGGGGGTGACAAGTAGGGCCGGCCCCAACAAGAGCTGGCGGTCCACAGTCCAGGTGCTGGGATCCTCGGGGAACCTTCACAGAAGAGGGACAGGCCTGAGGGTCTGGTGATTGGGGCTATGGGGTCAGCTGTTGAGCTGCAGGGTGAGTCAGAAATTCCTGTTTCTGGGGAAGACCCAGGAACCAGTGGTTCGGCTGGGTCCCAGCCATGAGCTCCATGCCAGAGCCCAGAGCAACTCTTGTCCTGCCTCACTTCCTGCGCGAGGGCCTGAGGCATGGTGGAGGCCTCCTGGGCTTTGCGCCTTGTTTCCCGATATCAAAATGGCCATGCCATTCGTTCAATTGAAATCCGCGCAACACACAAAACGGCATCAAACAACCTCCACAATCTCAGAGCCGGCCATTAGTAACACTCAGCTATCCTCTCTGTCATCTGAGCTGGTCCTGTCATGCAGCCTTGGGCACACCCCAGCCCCTCCGTCTGACTGACCAGTGCTGTGCTGGAGACCTGCATGATTTTCAAGATGACTCCCTGGTACCAGTTTCCACTTGTGGAATTAAGGGACCCCATCAGAGAAACATCCCCAGTGTTCCTCTCAATTCCTGGGGAGGCCTTAAAATGCCTCAGGACAAATGAACAGAATCTGTTTCAAAACATGTTTCTGTGCGTGTGCGTGTGTGTGTGTGCGCATGTTCATGTGTGCTCATCGCTGCAGAAGCTGAAGGACATCCCCTGGTATCCTTCTTCAGGTGCTGTCTGCCCTGTCCACAGGGTACCTCACTGAGACCTGTGGCCTGATGACTGCGCTAGGCTGGCTGGTCAGCGAGCCCCAGGGATCTGCCTGTCTCCACCTCTCCAGAATTGAATTATAAGGTAGGGGCCCAGATTCTTAACATGAATGCTGGGAATCAAACTCAGGCCCTCATGCTTGCAAGGCAAGCACTTTGTCCAGCCATCTCTCCACCCTATTTGTCATTTAATCACCTAACCCATTTGGAATTTACCTTTGTGTGGGGTAAGAAGGTATGCCGATTTCTGCGGACCTTTCTACTTGTCTTTCATCTGCTCACTGGTGTTGCCATTTTTATCATGGGACACTCCTTATATGTGCCGAGTCCTGTCTGGGGATACAGACTAAGCATCTCTTGCTTCTTCTCCCTTAAGCTACCTCCAAGATTTCTATATCTCAGATGGCCCTGAGCTGAGGTCTAGGGGGTCTGGGGACACAGAGGCACCTTAGTAACAGCTACAACCTGCTTAGGTCACAGGAAAACAGCCTATCGCAGGAAGGAGGTCCGTGGCATCAGCATCTGGCCAGTCCCCCCAGGGCACATGTGGGACATCATTCTCTAACCCAGGTGACTCACTCTAGGAAGAGGGGCCGGGCCACTGTGTCCCCGTTGACGTGGGCTCTGTGGAAGAGTGTGTAGAGGTAGGGCAGTAGGGCGTAACGCAGGGCGAAGGCATTCCTCATAGCCTGCTGCGCCGTCTCACTGAACCTGTATGGCTCCTGAGGCTGTGCAGGCAGAGGGGACAAGGAGTCTGGAATCCTGGGCCGTGGGTTCCATAAAACACCCACCATAAGAACCTGGGACTCCTTGGTCATCCTTTGTAGGGAGGGTGGTAGGGATGAGATTTTCCAGTACAGGGTCTCAGGTGGGTGGGGCCACTTCCTCCCACCCCTGGCCACCCCATCCTACCATGCTATGTAGGTCATTGTGATTCCGCATGAAGGGGTAGAAGATCCCCAGTTGAGTCCAGCGCACACATAGCTCTTCTGACGTGTTGCCCAGGAAGCCGCAGATGTCTGCCCCCACCAGGGGCACACCCAGCAGGTTAAACTGCAGGATTTCTGGGAGGACAGGCAGAATGCTCTCAGACTTCCAAAACAGGGCCAGCTCAGGTCAAGGACCAGCAGGCCTCACGCTCCACATGACATAGAAACAGGTCCCTAACCCATGTTAGCAGCATCCAGAGTGCTGAGCCCAGACCCCAAAGCCCTCCCCCCGCCCCCAGAGAGGACGCCAATGTCCTCCAGGTGGCCTGTAACTCACCAGCCACCGAGTATGAAAGCTGTTCCCAGCTGCTCCACACATCCCCCGTCCAGTGGCCAGCGTACCGGCCATGGCTGGCAAAGGTTGAACGGGAGATCACAAAGGGTCGTGTCCCCCGAGCTTTCACCAGGGCCCTGAGTGGGATGGAGACACAGAAAACTGGGCTTACTTGGGGCCCCACCCCCACCCCCACCCCCACCCCCAAAGGCACAGGTGCTCATGCAGAGCACCTGAACAGTGACAGGCGGGGAGGGCTGGGAAGACTGACTTCAAGAATAATAGACACGGGAGGTGGGGAAGAGGTCACCAGCAAAGTCTGCCGGGCAGTCAGCTCTGGTGCCATCTACAGATGAGCTACCACCCTGAGCCCTGCAAAAGCCATGTAATCCCTTAGGTGACATCCCCTAACTAGTTAGCACCTAGGATGCTTGGGGTATGGAATGGGGAGAGAGGCCCAACTCCAGGCTGGGGTCAAGGATGGTAGTTTTAGTGTGCAGTCCTCACTGGTCCCTGGGTGTTCTGGGTGTCTTTTCCCCTCCCTTTCCTGAGCCTTGTAGGGGCCAACTCATCTCTCAGCCTCCAGTGTGGGCGCTGGACAGACTGGTGAACGCAGGGCTGCGCAGGACAGAGACTCACCTGTTGGAGGCGATAGCTTCGGTCAGGCCATACAAGTTGTGGAGGTTGTAGTGTGTGGAAAGGAACTGGCGGCTGGAGGCACAGATGGTGGCCGCCTGCAAGGTCCCACCCACCACCCCTGGAAGAGAGGAGGACTGGTTTCCATGGAGCTTCCTCCCAGGGGTCCATGGTGGCCCTCTTGTCCCCACATCCTGGCAGCGCCTGCTCAGATCTCTAGTTCCTCAGGCTCTGCCCAGGATGGAGCATCATAAAGCGGGCCCCACTTCCCCAGTTGGGCTTGGCTTGATCCTCTGCTCATGGTAGGCCCCCAGGAATCGGGGCAGATCCCTGTACACCGCCACTGATCCAAAGACAGAGCAGGTGGGTGCCAGAGGCAGACCTCTGCAAACCTCCAGCCTTCTCTTCGACTCCTGCCAAGTGTGCCTGCTCATCTGAGCCCAGAGCGCCACCCCGGCCCCAGGCACTGGCTGCATGTGACAAAGTCTGTGGTTTTGGCTGCATCATTCCCCACATGGTCGTCACTCTTGGGGTGGCCCTCCTCTCTGTCCACCTGGCCGCTTATCAGAAATAAGAGCTTCCCATCTAACCAAACCATTCAGAAGGGCAACCTCATCCTGACACAACCCCCGACGTAGACAAGTGGGCTCACCAGGCACATAGGGTGGGTTCTCCAGATTGTTATTGGGGCAGCCCTGCTCAGAGCCCCTTATGAAGTTGGATGGTTCGTTCATGTCCTGCACGAGAGACCCAGGGTACAGAGTTGGGTTGGACCCCAGAGGTAGGGAGACACCCAGGGATGGGGGCCACACTTACGATCCACATGCCATCAAAGGGGACCTGGGCATGGAACTCAGACACCATGTCCTGCCACCAGTCCAGGGTCTCAGGGTTGGTGAAGTCAGGGAAGGCGGTGGATCCTGGCCACACCTGGACAATAAGAGACCAGAGGGAGGGCCGGTCCCACCCAGATCCTACACCACAGCCCTGCTGACCCTAGCCTTGGGCAGAGGAGCAGCCACCGCTTAGCCTCCATTGACAGATATCAGCAAACCCCAGGCCCAGCAATGAACAAGCCTCTCCCACGGTACACTGCACAGTGGCTGGAGGGGCCTCAGCCCTGGGAGAGCCAAGGCCAGTTCCATGCACACAGCCACAGGTCAGATGAACCTGGAACCAGACTGGGTTTATAAAAAGTTGACACAATCTCACGGGACCCCCCCAACCCCCACCCCATCAGACACAGGCCCCAGGTCTGCCTCTCCCCCAGCTGGGGGTGCTCTGTGTTGGTTCTAGCGACACCCTATAATGTGGGGGAACTCTCAGGAGGTTCCCAGGGGCTGAGAAGTCAAGGAGGACCCTTGCTCCCAAGGTCTCACGCTGTGCTTGGGCTGGGCCCAGCTGCTGGTGAAGCCCAAGAACCCCGCAATAGGAAATCGCAGGGTGTTCTTTTCCAGGAGTCACTGCCACCCCCAGCTAGGACTCCCCCCACCCTCTCTGTTCCACTGAACATGGTGGTTTCTGGATCCAACCTCCCCCCGGCCACAGTCCTCATCGTTTCACCTCACCTTTCCAATCAGTGGCTGCCCAGTCTCATTGGTGATGAAAACGCCCCTCTGCAGACCCTCATCGTACGGCCTGTAGCTCCCAGCAGGGCCTGAGCTGCTGATGGCGGGGTCCTAGGGAAAGAAATGGGCAATGGGGAGGGTAATGCAGCCCAAGGCCTTGGCACTACCCTTGGGAGAGGGGAACCGGGTGAAAGAGGTGGGAAAGGTTGGTACACACATATGACACACACGCTCTGCGGGCCTACAGAGCTGACTAGGAAGCTGGAGGCATGTACCTGGAGGCACACCTGTCTCCTGCTGGCTTCCACAGGGACCATTTACTTATTTCTATTTTTGAAGATTTTCTACTTATTATATTTAATTATGTATATGTGTGTGTGGTTGTACATGAGTGTAGGTGTCCATGGAGGCCAGAAATGTTGGACCCCCACCGCCCTCCAGAGCTGGAGTTATAGACGGTTGTAAGCTTCCCATCATGGGTACTAGGAACCAAACCCAGATCCTCAACACAAGCAACAGATGCTTCTAGCCACTTAGCCATCCGCTCCAGCCCCTTTAAAATTTTTAAACATTTTATTATTTAAGCCAGTTGTGGTGGCACATGCCTTTAATTCCAGTACTTGGAAGGCAGAGGCAGGTGGACTTCTTTGAGTCTGAGGCCAGCCTTGTCTACATAGAGAGCTTCAGGCCAGCCAGCCAGCCAGCACTACATAGTGAGACTCAGTCTAAAAAAATTATTTTATTAATGTGTGTGTCTATGTATGTGTACCACATGCATGCAGTTGCCCATGGAGGCCAGAAGAAAGTGTTGGATCCTCTGAAACTAGAGTTAAAGGTGGTTGTGAGACGTCTGACATGGGTACAAGGAACTGAACTCCCGTCCTCTGTCCTCTGCAAGAACAGCACAAAACGTGCTCTTAACTGCTGAGCCGTCTCTCCTGCCCCCATTTACTTTTTTTTTTTGGTTTTTTTGAGACAGGGTCTCCTTGTAGCCCCAGTTGGCCTGGAACTGTGTAGACCAGGCTGCCCTTGAACTCACAGAGATCTGCCTGCCTCTGCCTCCCCAGTGCTGGGATTAAAGGCATGTGCCACCATGCCCAGTTCCATTTACTTTTTAAAAAAATATTTTATGTGTATGAGTATATTGCCTGCATGTATGTGATAGCACCATGTCATGCAATGTGGTGGAGGTCAGAAGAGGGCTTTGGATTCCCCTGAAACTGGAGTTAAGGATGGTTTACAGCCAACATGTGGGTGCTGAGAAATTGAACCCAGGTCCTCTGCAAGAGCAGTCAGTGCTCTTAACCACTGAGCCGTCTCTCCAGCCCCCATTTCCTTTTTTTTTTTTTTTTTTGGTCTTTTTGAGAGAGGGTTTTCCTGTAGCCCCAGCTGTCCTGTAACCCACTATGTGGACCAGGCTGGCCTTGAACTCACAGAGATCCGCCTGCCTCTGCCTCCCGAGTGCTGGGATTAAAGGTGTGCACCACCACGCCTGGCCCATTTCCTTTTTCTAATAGTGATTTCTTTTTTTTTAATGCAAGGGTCTGCAACTGGCCTTGTGTCAGAGGCCTGTTGTCACAGTTGTTTGAGAGCCTGAAGCTGAAGGATTGTGAGTTCAAGGCTTGCCTTGGCCACTTAGTGAGCTCTGTCTCAAAGTGAAAATTAAAGACAGGGCTAGGGATGTAGCTCAGTGGCAGAGGTTCAATCCCCAGTCTCTCTCTCTCTCTCTCTCTCTCTCTCTCTCTCTCTCTCTCTCTCTCACACACACACACAGACATCTGGCTTCGCCTCTGATAAGCCGCTGCTATTTGCTGTCCTAACCTCATTTCCTCTGCTGTAGATTTGTGGCAGTGGCTGTTTGATCTTTTTGGCCCTACTTCCTACATCTCTGGTTAGGGGTTGGCGGGAGACTCAGTTAGCCCAGTCTGCAAATTTCACCCCTCCAGCTATGAGGACAAGCACAGGGCAGGTCTGCTTCCTTCCTGGACACACCTGGCCTGAGAGACCGGTGGCATCAGGAGACACACCCACATCTAGGTCCCCAGGTTTTCCCAGCTCTGGGGACACCAGCTTGCTGTGGTCCCTGCCTGGGCTTTAGGCGGCTGAAAGATTTCACAACACAAGAGCCCTAAGCATGACACAAATGCTTCCAGTTATCTGGATGCCCCTGGACAGCAGAGACTAAGCCTGAAAGGCCATCCTTCAATATGAAAGACTTGGAGAATGTCCTGGGCAGTCCTGGCAGGCAGGAGGAAGGGGCCACACAGGCAGGACCACTGGCCATGGGCAGCTCTGCTCACCACAATCATCATGTACCGCCGGCCACCCTGGTGGAGGTCTTGCACAAACGCTGGCAAGTCCTCAAAGCCATCCTTGTTGAAGGTAAAGTCCCTGCGGGCATCCATGTAGTCCAGGTCATTCCACTGCACATCCTGAAAAGTGGGAGGAGCTGGAGCTTGGGCCGGAAGTGGACAGCACAGGACCTGGGGCTGAGGTCCGAGACCTGTCCCTGGCTGCCCCGCTCTGTCCTCCACTTACCAGGGGGAAGCGTGCCTTGGTCATGTTCTCTACCACCTGACGGAGGATGGTGGTAGAGGAGTAACCCCAGCGGCAAAGGTGGAAGCCCAGGCCCCAGTACGGTGGCATGAAGGGGTATCCTGTAGGCCAATACTTCAGTAAACAGTGCAGAAGGGGAGGCAGGGGCTGAGGGAAGGGAAAAGGCCTTACCCACGACATCCTGGTACTGCTGCACCACACTCTTGGGCTCTGGGCCCAGGAACACATACACATCCAGGATCCCTCCTGTTGACCTCCAGGTGAGGGCTGGCCTGGGCTGCAGGACCACGTCTGGAGGGAAGTGGCTTGGGTTCAAGGACAGCTAACCCACAGCTGGGTCAACCTGTAGCTATCGAAGTGTTCTTCCCACAGGAAGCCTGGGGTGGATGGTGGGATGGTAGTGGGGCGGCTATGCTGAGCCCAACTTGGCAAGGCCTTCAGGACATGGAGCAGCTGGGCCTGGGGAATCTCCTAGGACTTCATGTGGGCAGAGTGGCTCAGCTAGGTGAGGACTCTGCTTGCTGGACTCCCTCAAGTGAGGTCCCTCAGACAGGCAGGCCCTGGGGCAGGTTGGCCCACTGAGGGGACTACTGAGGGGCCCCAGCCTGGGGACTCACCCATGGCATTGCTATTCAGCAGGAAGACACCATGAGCCAAGCCACCATCCTCCAGTGCCAGGTAGAAAGGATGTGACCCATAGAGGTTGGCACCTGGCTGGGGTGGGCGGAGACGGCACCTTAGCACCCAGGACCCCAGCTTCCACATTCCCATCCACCAGTCCTCTCTTACCGAGGGGGCCAGGTCCCGGTTCCAGAGGGTGATCCGGGTCCATTCGGTGCTGAGCATGAGTGGACTCAGGTGCTCAGCGAGGCCTGTGATGTACTGGGAGGGCAGAGAGGTGGACAGCTGCAGAAACTGGTCAGCGAAGAACAGAGGGGCCACAGTTGTGTTCAGCCTGTGGAAAGAATCCAGGCTCCCTCACATCCCAGGGTACACAACCCTGGGACGGACCCCTTCAGAAGGCAGGGCTGATGAGGGATAGGGTGGCCTGGCGAATTCTAGACCACGCTGACCCTGGGACAGTAGCCACATGAGGCCCAGCAGCCCCTTAAGACAGTAGCAAGAGCCGGGCATGGTGGCGCACGCCTTTAATCCCAGCACTCGGGAGGCAGAGGCAGGCAGAGCTCTGTGAATTCAAGACCAGCCTGGTCTACATACTGAGTTCCAGGACTGCTGGGGCTACAGAGAGATCCTGTCTCAAAAAGAACAACAACAACAAAAAAAACCCATAGTGGAAAGACCCAGAACAGGTATGTTCAGTGAGCTCAGAGGGACTGTGCCCTTATCACCCCAGGACAGGACACAATGATACCAAACAGGGTCCTGTCAGGAGGGACACAGGGCATAGAAAGTCAGATGGCAAGGGTGCTGGAGCCCAGGTCTGTTCCCTGCCAACGAGTTCCTCCCCTGGGCCTGTGTCCTGATTGGCCCAAGAAGGGCTGTACAGCACCAGTCTGAGTCATAGAGGCAAGAACGGGTTAATAATTGAAAGTCCAGTGCACAGTAAAGTGCATGTATTTAATAAATAAAATAAAAAGGCCAGATAGATGCATGCTGCCTGCAGGGGGCGACACTGTGAATTGGACCAGGGGCCATCCTTTGTGGACACTGTAGGTACTGGCTGCCATAGCAACAAAGACATCTCCAGGCACTGTCACTCTTCTTCTGGGGGACATCAGTCGTCATTGGGAAGGCCTGGGCTAGGTGGCCACGGAGGAGACCTTTGAGACCTGATATGGAGGTACCATGCCAAGACCTGGGTGAACCCTTGTTGGCTCCAAGGCTCTGGCTCTTGAGGGGCCACTATGTCCCTGTCCACCTAGGGTGGGGGCACAAGTCCCAGGCACACAACTCACAGCACCCGGCCATCTAGCTTCCTGCGCACAATCACTCCAAAGGGCTCCTCTGAGAACTCCACACTGTAGAGTGGGGAGGATGGCCGGCTCAGGACACGCGGGGTCTCCAGGGGCACCTCGTAGCGCTTGTTAGTGGGATCTTTGATCTAGGAGAGAAGAGATGATGGTGCTCAAAGTCCTTTGTGAGCCCGGTGCCCACCCCTTCACTCCCTATGGTCCTTCACGGGACCTCTGCCAGGAGACACAGCTCCAGGATGGACCGTTGGGCCCCAGGACAGGTGGTCAGCTCAGGTCCCAGCACGGCTGCATGTTGTGAGAATGGACACTTCGTTTAACCTCTCTGGACCTCAGTTTCCTAAACTATATAACTGGAAGTAAATAGAGAACACTCACTAAACTTGAACTTCAGATAAATGGCAAATAGTTTTGCATGCATTCTTTTTCTTCATCATCATCATCATGATGGAGACAGGGTCTGGATGTGTAGCCCTGGCTGGCCTGGAACTCACATTGTAGACCAGGCTGGCCTCAAACTCAGGGATCCTTCCGCCTCTGCCTCCAGGATTAAAGGTGTATGCCACCACCCCCAGTCTATTTTTTTTTTTTGAGACAAGATCTCACTGTAGCTCAGGCTAGCACCTCATTCACAGCAATCGTTCTGCCTCATCTTCAAAAATGCTAAAATTTTTCAGAGTGGTGTGTGCCTTTAGCCCCAGCACAGTGGGAAGGCAGAGGCAGGCAGATCTGTGAGTTGGAAGTCAGCCTGGTCTACATAATGAGTTCCAGGTGAGCTGGGGCTACAGGGAGATGCTGTCTCAAAAAAACACAAATAGCTTTTTCACTTGTGTGCATGTGAAACTATGGGTGCACATGGATGCCAGAGATTGACACAAGGTGTCCTTATCTTTTTTTGAGGTCTCTCATTAAACTTGAAGCTTACCCATTTGACTAAGCTGGCTGGCTAGTGAGCTTAGCAATCTGTCCCTCACTGTCACCCAGTGCTGGGGTTACAGGTTGGCAATGCCATTCCCGGTTTTCTATATTGGGTGCTGGGGATCCAAACTCGGGCCCTCATGCTTGTGTCACAAGCTACACACTGAGACATCTCCCCAGCCTTAACAAATAGTCTGCAGTATTATATGGGGCATCCTCACACTAAAAACAAAATCATCCACAGAAATAGGTGCTGCAGATGTTGTAGGGAAAGACCAGGGGACAGAACATAGAAAAATTCCTGCTGCTGGAGAGTGGTTGGTACTGAGCCACCGCTCACTGTCTGGAGCATTCTACAGGAGAGTTGAGTATCTCCTCCTGGAGGCATCCTGACCCCCCACCCAGGCCCTGCACCCTACCTTTTAGAGCCCCTGTCATCACTCTGCCTACATCTGGGCTCCCAGTAGGGGTAGGTACAGTCATGCCACACCATCCTTGGAAGAAATGTGTCACCCGTCCACAGGGACCCATCCTCTGCCCTGCCTGACCCATCTGTCTGCATGGACTAGTCTCTGCCCAGGCCCTTCATATGACAGGTATCTCTACCAGACCCAGCTTTGCCCAGGATCCACCCTGCCCACCGTGAAGTGGAGGCGGCTCTCAGTTTCCATCAGCACGTCCAGCCGTAAGGTCAACACATCCTTTGGGAAGAAGGTAGGGCTGGCTCGGGTCAGGGTGGCTGTGTAACCCATCTCTGAGGAGCTCAAGTTCTCCAGCCGGTAGCTTGGATAGTCAGGAGGGAAGAAACACCAGGGCTGCCCGTTCAGGGGGCCCTTTGGCAGCTGCCCCACTGGGACATAGCAGCAGCCACGGGCCTCACACTGCTCCTGGGTGATGCCCTTGTCTGGGGCACAATCGAAGCGGCTACTGGGGGGAACATCACACTGTATGGCTGCTTCTCTGAGCTGGTCAGGGTGCTCCTGGGTGTGTCGGAGCCCTGGTCCATCAGCTCTCTTATGGTGAGCTCTGTGAGTTTCCTCTAGTCTTTGAAAGGAGCCACGTAGCTCTTGGGGGACCAGTGAGAAGTCATGGAGCAGGTTGTGACCCAGGAGGGCAGCTGTGGCCAAGGAGATGAGGATACAGACCCCTACCAGGGGGCAGGAGCAGGGTGGTCTCTTCACATTCATGGTGGGGGTCTGTCAGCCTGGGGCAGCATGCACAGTCCTAAAAGCCTGCCAAGAAAAGCCAGTGTCAATGTGAGGGTCAGGGGGCTCCCTCCCTGTTCTCACAACAGTGCAACATTCACAGGGCCAGGAAATGTAGGGAGGTGGCCAGGAAATTGTCTTCCAGAGCAATGGTGAGAGGAAGTAGGCTGTGGGTGATAATGGGAACTCCTCGGAGACAGAAGGGGTACTGCAGACATGAGCCATCCTGAGCTACTAGGGACCCCAGCCACTAGTCACCTGGTTAGGAAAGCTAAGACGCTTATTACTTCCAAGGGTTTCAGGAGCCCCAGGCTCCCACTCAAGACGCATTTTGTTCTATGCTGTAGAGACCCTGCTCCTCCTGGAACCTTCCGGACACACATGACACTGTGAGATCATGATTCAGCAATCAGGGGACTCAGGAGTCTAGCTCCTGGTCTAACGTTACCAGGGACACTCAGGCTCAGCCTCCATGGGGCAGGCTTTGGAAATCTCCCTCACTCAGGGTGGCCCAGGGTGGTACTGAGGAACACACACATCAGAAGGAGGTTCCAGAAACCGGACCAGGCAGCCCAGCCCCGTTATTTTCCCAGCTCCAAAATACGGAGAGGAAAAAACAATGGGGAGAAACGGACGGTCAGACGCTGGGCTCACTGGAGACCCAGGTTCTGCAGTCCGGAAAGCTGCTGCTCCCGCGCGCGACCGGGTAACGGGGCTGGTCCACACCCTGGCGTTCAGACACCCGGGCCACAGCGAAGGGTGTCGGTCTCGCCGTGCCTCAGTTTCCCCGCTCGACTCTCCAACCAGGAGCTCGCTGACAGCCAGTCGCGAGCCTTGGGGAGGCCCAGGCCGCCTCCGAAGACCCTCATCGCTCACCTGCGCGGACGCCCTCACCTCCGGCCGAGACACGGCGAGGGTCACGTGATCGGAGGGTGGGGCCGGGCCTGCGGGTGGCGTGACGCGGCCTCCCGAGCGCAGGCGCCCCAGTCCAGGCGGGTTCGCGCTGCGCCCCCTAGTGGCGGTGCGCACCGGAGCGAGCGGGTGTCCCGGGCGCATGTCCCGCCTCTCCCGGGAGCATCCTTTGGGATGGGGCTGCAAAGCCCTGGACTCTGATGCGCAAGACGGGGCCACAGCTCGCCCTGATGCCCTCCCCGGGGCTAGTAAGACGGGGCCACAGCTCGCCCTGATGCCCTCCCCGGGCTAGTAAGACGGGGCCACAGCTCGCCCAGCCCCACCTGCACCCACGGACAGCCGCTTGCAGACCCTGTTGGAGGATGTCATCTCGAAGGCGTGACGCTGATAATCCAGAAAAATGTTAAATGACAACACGGCGTTTTTTTTTGTTTTTTCATAAAGTGAGAAAATGTTTATTTGATATGAGTAAGCCCAGCGCAGGCCTGTGATCCCAGCACTCAGGAGGCAGAGACAGTAGGATTGCCAGTCTGAGGCCAGCCTAGGCTACAGGAGACCCTGTTTCAAAAGATAGGCCCTATCAAGAGGTGCTCAGCAATGAAGTCGCCTGTCCTGTTCCCAGCTTCGGTGGGGCCCCGCTCCCTTCCCTGCTCCAGGAGACTGAGGGGTTGTCCCAGGACAGTGTAGTGGGGAACAGATGTAGAACATGGAGCTGCCAACAGACTGGTCTTTACCTGGACAGGTAAGTCCAACAAGAGAGTGTGCGTTTGCAGGCCCTGTGATGCCTCTGCTAGGCAGGCAAGCATGCTCACCAAGGCCCATCAGAATCACTGCATTTCACGTGGTGGGAACTGCTGAGGGACTGTGACTCCTGTGGATCTGCCTCATTGACGTTTAAGTAGCGGCATCATTGTAGGGTACCCGTGGCCTTTTAGGAACATGGGAAGTTTCCGTATCTCTGATGATAGATGATTCCTGGGGGTCTCCCTCAGGGCAGGCTTGGCAGGTGGGGACCTGGCAGCTGTCTAGGAGGGCTCAGGGGACTCCAGCTGGCTGAGAATCTTCTGTCGAACTTTGTGCAGGACCTCCTGGAACTGGGGGTAGTCCTCCTGCACTTGGGCAAGGATGGTATTGATCTGGGCCAGTCGGATGTCCAGGCGCTTGTGCTCCATCAGCTGGGACTCGCTGTTGCGGTACAGGAACACATACTTCCCCTCCATCACCGCCTCCAGGTGCTTGGCCCGAGTCTGCAGGGTCACAATCTCTGAAAGGTTCTGAGTGAGAAAAAGACCCTGTGTCAGCCATCTCCTGCCCCTGACTCAGACAGGAGGGAATGCCACAGAACAGGGAGAGACTGGTCAAGCCTCCTAGCCCAAGGGAAGGGGCCTGCACCCAGTGGGTGGGGCCTTGCTCATCTATCACAGGGAGGTGTTTTGACTGCTGTGTGTCTGGACTGGTGCTGGATGCTTTCCTGAAACCTTGCGGCTGTTCTTAGACTCTACCACAGTCAGCCCAGCAGGAAATCCCACTGGGGTGACTTCTGAATTCCATGCAGACATGAACAGCCACTGGGGTTTATGTGCACTGTGCTCCTGAAGTCTACCCTTGACCCTCCATTCAACGCTGCCTTAGAGCCAGGGGGAATCCTGCCGATCCCAGGTCACCCTCAGCCCAGGGCTCTCTCCACTGTCTCCCTCTTCCTAGGAGAAAAATCCCAAGGTCAGGGTCATGTTCCTCCATGCAGTCTGGGCAGACCCTTCTTTGCCAGGCTGCCCCCTCTACTGGTGGCTTTCTCCCCTGCCTCCTTGAAGCCTTGACTCAGATATAAGTTTCCCACATTGCCTTCCTGGATCACTCCTGTCAGAATCTCAGCCCTCATTCTACTCTGAGGCCCTGATGTCTTTCTCTGCTTCAGGCTCTTCAAAGACTTCATTGCTGTTGAACACACCTTTTCCCACCATTTCTGTTTCTTACTCTCCATCTTCTTGCCTCAAGAATGTAAACTGACCAGGCCTGGTGGTGCACGCCTTTGATCCTAGCATTCAAGAGTCAGAGGCAGGCAGATCTCTGTGAGTTCAAGTCCAGCCTGGTCTACATAGTGAGTTCAGGCCAGCTGGGGCTACAGGGAGACCCTGTCTCAAAAAGACCAAACTAACTAAATAAAAGAATGTAAATTGTCAGAACATCTGGAATTTTTGTTCTATTCTGTTGCTCTGGTACCCAGAGGAGTCCCCAACCCTTTACAGACAGTGACCAAAATTTACTGACTGAACAAATCACAAGGGACAAAAATGTGAGTGGTAAAGTGGTGCCAGAAACAGCCCAAGGCTTACCTGGATCAGGTAAGGCTTGTCCTGGAGACACAGGGTTCTCCTGAGGTGGTCACCCCCCTCAGGACCTCCTGAGATAGTTACCTGCCGTTTAAGATCCATGAGCTGGCTGATCTCGGCTTCAAGAGCATCGATGCCGCACTGCGCCTGTGACAGCGACTGCTGCTTCTCCTGGAGGGAGCTACTCAGGAGCTTCTGAGCTTCTTCCAGTTCTGAGATGGTCTTGGTGCTTTCCTCTGTGGCCTAGGAAAGAAACAGGACCTGCTGTATCCCTCATCCATGTCGCTTAGCAGATCGCGGCATCGGGCTAGCACTGTCAACACGCCTGGAGAAGAATCCAACAGCCGCTGCCCTTCTGGAATGTATGCTGGGAGAGGGGTGTGTATGCCCTTGAATACTGGGGTCTGGAGGCTGAGATGCCAACGGGGAGGGTGTGGTGGGGAAGCAGTGCCCTCCTGCCGCGAGTCTGTGGTCTGAAGGTGCACAGGGACCAGGAACAGAGCAGCAGCCCTGAGCTAGCAGGGGGTGAGGCTGCGTGGGGAGCGTGGGGAAGGACGGGGGGAGTGGGGTGGTTGGCAGTGGGGTTGGGGCTCCTCTGTAGACCTCCAGTGGGACACAGTGTGGCAGGAGGCACATGCAGCAGGGGGTGGCAGAGATGGGGTTGGGGCCACCAGGGGAAGTGTCACTACCCAGAGAAGAAAGGACCTGCAGTGTTTAGTGTCTGGCTTGGGGTCTCAGGGATGGTGAAGAGATAGTGACTCTCAGGGATGTCTGGGACACAGACGAACTTTGGGATGCACTGGTGGGAGGGAAAAAAGGCTCCATTTGTTCATAGACGGTGGAGGTCATGCTGAATGGCCCATGGGAGGCAGGGCTGGCTGCTGCCTGGATGGGGAGGTGGGACAGGGAGGGCAGGGGTCCTGGTGGGGGCAGAGGAGGCCTCTAGGGCAGGAGGAGCGGTCAGACATGGAAGAGGAAGCTGGAGAATGAATGGGGTGTTAGGAGAGGCAGATGCAGCAAATGAGGCCTGAGAAAGGCCTCTCTGCCTCTTCACTCTGGAAGCATCCAATAGCTTCCACAAGAATAGTTCTTTTTAGCTGACCTTTCCCAATACAGGACATACCCTACAGAGGCTTAAAAAAAAATTTTTTTTGATTCAGGGTCTCATATAGAACTTAGGCTGGCCTTGAACTTGAGACAATCCTGTTTCTGCCTGAGTGGTGAGACCACAGGTGTGTGTACTATGTCTGGCTCCTACAGGGACTGTCCCAGTGCTCTGTGTTTAGCTGTCTGGATGATTCTTGTGATGGCTAATCTTGGCTGTCAACTTGAATGGATCTGGAATTAACTGAAATGAGAGAGAGAGACTTTCCTGATTGGATTATTGAAGCTGGGAGACCCACCCTAAATGTGGGTGTTACCTTCTGATGGCAGCCCGAATAAAGGGCCATGGCAGAAGGGAGCTTTTGCGTGGTGCCTGCCTGCCCCCTCGCTCACTGGTGGTTGTATCTTGGTGCTGTGGCGTTCCAGATAGTTGGTTCCAGATAGTAGAACCAACTCTGGATTCCAACTTAGACTGAAGACCGGAGGACCTCCAGAAATCCTCCAGGCCTTCAGCGCCAGATTGGGACTACTGAGGCCTCCAGCCTTGTGGACTGAGTGACTACCTGATTCTCAGCCTCTCCAGTGTGGTGCAGCCATTGTTGGACTCTATTCTGTGAGCTAATCGAATAAATCCCCAAATATATATTCATTTTATCAGTTCTGTTTCTTTAGAGAACACTGACTAAAACAACTCTATAAGGTGGATTCCATAGGTCAGCAAACAGGCAGAGCGGTGAGACCACATGCCTTAGTCACGAGGGAACAGTGGAGCTGTGGCCACATTCTCAGATGTCTGTTCTTCAAGCCACGGCACTATGCACAGCCATAGCATGGCTGCTGCACACTTTAATCATTTGACTCCCCAGGAGGTAGCCACTGCTCCTGTTTCTCCCAGCAGGCTTGGAGAGTCCCCAGGTATGCCCAAAGTCACAGAGCCTATTAGCAAGGGCTGTGGGACAACTGGGAACTTTGACCCCAGATGGCCGTTGGGGCAGTCGGAGGGGCACACACCACATGCTGCGGATGTAGCCTGTTATGTAGGGACACCAGCACCTGGAGACCTATCATGTTCCCATCAGCCTGTCTCCCACCCCCTTGAGTCCCTTCATGGCTCCCCCAGGAACCCCGGAAGTCCATTTCTGTTAGCAGGAAGTGATTGCCTGCAGCACTGCTTTGTGCCCCAAGGTGGACATTCTGCTGGACCCAAAATAAATTTCTGATGACATGACTGAGAACACAAGTTGGGGTGCTCAGAGGTACCTACCGAGCAGAGCCACCTGGACAGATACCACCTTTCACCCAGCAGGACCTGGCATGTAGGAAACACGGTCCCCTTCCCAGATGGGGGCCACAGCCCAGAAGATGCAGCGACTGTGTTTGTCCAGCTCCAAAGCACCCCATCTCCTCTTCCTCTGTCACTTCTCCGTCACACACGTGACATAGCAGTGCTGACCACAGCCCGTGGGAATGGGGAAACATGGAAGCCAGGGGCTGTGATCTGCTGGCTCTCACACTGTTTCTGAGAGTTGTGTGGACAAGCCGGGGCAGGCAGGTGGCCACTCTCTGCTGCTAGTGTCCTAGCACCATGTATAGCATGACAGGGAGGCAGGAGGTTCCTGGAGCCAGCCGGTGGAGATGGAGATGTGTACTGACCATGTACAGCTGGGAAAGGTGACCCCAACATGAACCTGGCCTCCCACCTCCAAAGACAGACAAGGAACCTAGACCAGAATGGCCTTCTGGACTACTCAGGTCACAGAGGCAGAGTGGGTCATACCTTGTACACCTCCCTGATTCTCCGCCGCAGCTCATTCTGCTGGTAGCGGAAGTCTGTCCGGGTGATCAGCTTCTTGTCTATCTTTTTCTGCCCCTCAGCGTGGGTCACAATGGTTTCCCTGCGGGCCACCGCCAGCTCCATGTCACGGATCATCTTCTCCTGCTGCTTCAGCAGCTGTCCGTGCTTGACCTGGCAGCACAGGACGGAGGGGACACAGCTTCACGGAGGGTGGCCATCCCACCTGCCCTGGCTTGTCTGCCTCTGACACCAGCCAGTGAAGGGCAGTGATGCAGAGAGGGAGGCAATGAGGAGTCTGGAGGCAGCACACCAGATGGAAAATGGTAACAACGGCACAGAAGGGAGACAGGGACGGCCAGAGGTGGGAGGAAGGGCTGAGCATGCCAGGGGCACCTCTGTGAGAGGACCGTGGGCTCTGCTTAGAGGTGGAGGTTTGGTTAGCAGGGTGATGACTAGTTAACCCTTTGGTTGTGACAAGTGCAGTGTGGATTTGTAAGACAGTGAGGGTGGAAGGAGATGGCTGGAGGGTCTGTAAACTAGGGCCAGGAGCGGGGGTGTGTGAAGATGGACTGCAGGGGTTCAAGGGAATCATCTGGGGTCACAGGGATGCTTGCAGCTGGTTTAAATGAGTGTTTTAGTGTATGCAAGTTTTGCATGATAAAGATAATTTAAATGAAGAAAAGAGGGGGAGCTGGGGAGATAGCTTAGTCAGTAGAGTGCATGCCCTGAAATGAAAGCATGTAGACCCGAGTTCGAACCCAGAACTCACACAAAAATGCCAGGTGTGGCAGTGCATGCTTATAATCCCAGTGCTGGGGAGGTGGGGACAAGAGGCTCCTTGGGGTTCCTTGGCCAGTTAGTGTGACCTGATTGGTGGGCTTCAGGCCAATGAGAGACTTTGTCTCAAAAGAAGTGAACAGGGCTGGAGAGATGGCCCAGCAGTTAAGATCACTGGCTGCTCTTGCAGAGG